GAGTGCGGGTGCAGGGGGACCGGCTAGTGGGTGGGAGGGGAAGGGAGCGGGGGGAGAGAGAGAAGGGGGGCGGCCAGGGCTACAGCGGGGCGCTGCCACGCGGCCCCTCCCGCCCTGCCGCCTGCCGGGAGGGCTCCGCTCCGGTCAGCGGGGAGGGAAGGACGAGGACTGCCCTGCCAGGCTTGCTGCAGGATGCTCCCATCCTCCGCGCCCCCGCCCCCTACAGGGCGGCCGGAGCGGAACAAAAAAAAAACCAAACCTGCCGTGCCGCTCTAGGATTGGGCGGAATGCCGCCTCGTTCAATCTGCCGCCCCAAGCACCAGCTTGCTCGGCTGGTGCCTGGAGCCGGCCCTGGTCTAAGTGTAGGCACCCGTTTTTGAAAATTTTGTTCATGGTTTCTAAGCCTAAGAGAGAGCTTAAGGAAGCAGAGCTCTAAAGTGTCTGAAGCCTCCTGTAATATTTGCAGCTATTCTTCTCCTACAGTCTGTAAATAAACTGAACTGAAGAACATGTATTCACAGAGTGTTGGTTTCAGGAAAATGTGACAAATGGATACGTGGAAACTTGAACAATGTATTTGTTACCACCATTTAATTCAACCCATCATGCAGTCTGTGTTCAGTGTGCTTCCATGAGTAGAGTACAAGTAACAGAAAAGATAAAGAAGCATGAAGCTTGTTTGCTACTGAAATATAGATGATTGAATAGTTTAGGAAGGAATTATCTGATTAGAAAGTAATGACAAGTCAAACTATTTTCATTTCTTTGGCACTGAGTTTTGATGTGTGATTGTAGCTGAAATTTTACCCAAAGGCACTGGTGTCCTTTTTCTGTTTTTGCTGCTTAGTTTTCTCCTCTGACTTGGGGCTCCTTCTCTTTGCTGACATTTTCAGACACGTTAGTCATTAGACACTAAATGATAACTTTACACTCATTACACTGACAAACTAGCATTTTCCCTAAAGGTTGTAGTCTTTCATTGGAAATTAAGATTGAAGACCTTCTTTTTTACAAGACTCAGAAGAAAACCACCGGTCTTCAATTATGTACTGTATATTGATGGTGCACAGCAGTAAGAAGTGTTATATGAAATAGCAGTAGGGGATGATCAGGCCTGATAGCCTGTGTGTCTCGCAGTGGGTTACCAATCATGCCACGAGGAACTTTTTTGTGGATGCCTCACTTTCTCACAAAGCAGTTCACAGGTTACTTTTGTTGCTACAGCAGTTTTCAGGCTGCTGCTAATTCTCTCTTCTCCTAAACTTTGTCAGCCATCACAGAAGCAATGAATCTGTTGCATCTTTCCTGTTGTATCATTTTCCTTTTCTTCTCCCCCCCCCCCGAAATATACAAAATCAGACCCTCATCTTAAATTTGGAACTTAAATAAACTCAAATAAAAGAATATACCAGCTGCAGGTCAGGAAGCTTTATTAAATCAAGCAGCCACCCTCGCTCCTGTGTTATTAGCATAGGGTGAAATTCACCCATTTGCTCAGGACCAGCACAAAACCTATGCACACATTCCTCTTTGCCTCTGTTTTATGTAAGCAGCGTCAACACTTTGTGAATCTTAATAGCTGTTTTTTTTTAAAAAAAGCTCCAGCTACTGGATTCATTTGGGTCAGTGAGAATCTCAGTTTTCATTTAAAGTAGTAGTAAGTTTCTAGCCCACATGGTTGCTGAGATAAGCTTGAAAACGTGGCCTGAGTGTATCCTAACGGCTCAAACACTAGAAGGCATATAAAAAGAACTCAAAATGCTTTCATGGTTTTAAACCAGAGTCCTGATTGTTTGGGGTTGGCACTACTGAGGCACCAAACAGTGGGTGCTCAGCACTTTCTGAAAATCAGGTATGTCTAAGGCATCTCCAGTGGGGCCCTCAAAGAGAGATCCCCAACAGCATTCATCACTTTTGAAAATCTTAGCCTCGAGATCCATTCCATTAAATTTTGCATTCTTAAGTGATGCATCATGCCCTCTGCACTGTGAATTTTGCTCTTGGTGTAACTCTCATGCGGCCAGAAGTAGTACCGAAAGAATTCTTGGCTGCAAGTGAACGGATGTCCCACAGTAAACAGTTTTTAATCTTTCATGTTTTAAGAAAAAAATACAGACTTTAATCTTGAATCAATAGAGAACATATTCTGTTAAATTAATAGGTCCAGTAAATGCTGTTAATTTTGTGGCAATGCCTTTATCAGGAATCTAACTTAATGGATTTTTTTTTTAAATTTAATGGAGCACTAATTTTTCTCTGAGCGCGTATATAATAGCACAGTAAATTAGCTTAAAAATAATTGAAGTGAATTGAGTTCACCCAGGCGTCTTTGAAAGAAAGTATTTTTAAAAAAAAACTTTATAATCAACATCTTGCAACTTATTGATTATTACAATGTATGTCTTATTTATACCGTACTATAGGTGTGCAGGGAGCTTTACAGACAAAGCATGCCAGCTTCCTGCCCCCAAAAGCGTACAGTCTAGGGTCCCGATCCTGCAACTGGATCTATGTGACATTTCCACAGAGGCACTGAGTGCTATTCTGGCACACCTGGGGATTTAACCTGTACTGGTGCACAGTCATTATGGAGAGACACACAGGTGCTCCATTGTTAAGGTTGAAGCTATTTCCCCATGATAAATCCAGTTTTTCTCACACCCCTCCCTAGAGTGACCAGACAGCAAGTGTGAAAAATTGGGACAGGGGGTGGGGGATAATAGGCGCCTATATAAGATGAAGTCCCAAATATCGGGACTGTCCCTACAAAATCTGGACATCTGGTCACCCTACACCTCCCCCTTTGCAATAATAGTTCTTGTCTTATTTATTGTAAGCCACTAGCTAGATTACCCTAACTTGGAGCTAACCCCTCCACCCCCTTCCAATATGTAACAATCTCTCTGCCCCCATAGTCCAGGGCTTTCAATCTTCCTACAATTCACTTTATAATTTCCCTCGCTCCAGTTGCAGATCATCCTGACCTTCGTCCCTCAGTATCTGTCTGTAAATGTTTGACCCAGGCTGGGATTACTTCTGCAATACACCTGACTGCTAATGGAAAACATTCATTTTAGAGCATTCCTAAAACAATACAATACCCCAGTTCAACCTGGTTTGCTCACAGAAAGGTTTTACACTATATATAAAGCATAATAATCAATATGACGAGGTCCTGTGGGACCTCACTCTGGAAAGTGATTACAGAACAGAGACCTACAGCAGCCACATTATCTTGGGTTCGTGCTCTTTGATCCCTTTCTGTTGCTATCAGGACTAACTCTCTCAGAAGTATATAGTCAGACAACTGTAAGTGCTGATATCAATGAAGGGCCCGAGGAATATTCTGGGATCAGATCTTGCATGTTGCATTTTGCTTAAAGCTCAGATATTTCATTCAGCTTTAGCATGGAGTATGTTTCATCCCACAGTAACTATATGGGTCCAAATTAGTAGATTTTCCCTTATGCTGGAGGCAGTGTATTGGGGGTAGGCACTAGATATAATACAGAATGTGTTTTGGAACTGTATCTATTTTCAGCCCAGCACAGCCACCTTGGCACACACAGGTAGTGGAGGGAGGACTCTGCTCTTGTCTTGCATAAAAATTCCCCTCTGTGAATTAGCATTGCCAGAATGTTAGCTCCTGCCTCCTCCGCATGCACATTACACTCTCCAGTGTCACAAACCTCATGTTATGCCTGACACCTGTGCAGATTCAGGGGGCAGAGGAAGGACTCCCTATGTCCTCTCTCTCTCTGTTCTAATACACTTGTGGAGCCCTAAAACTGTAGCCGATGGCATATGTCTCTCCGCTTCCACAGAATATCAGATCCACAAAATCGCTGTTGTGCTGTCAAGAGAGCAATTGGAAATTGAACATAAAACAGGCAGTCACATAGTGGGGAAAATACAAAAAGACAACTTAATTTAATTAAAGCTCAAGTGGAGCAACTTTTCAGCTTCAGTAAAAGAAGTGATGCAGTTTTGTTGAATTCAGTCTAGTGCATCAATTCTTCTAGGAACCGAGTGGAAGAAGGGTTGGAATTTGATTACAGTGGAGACTAAATACGCTTTGTGTGAAAAGTGTTTCAGTTTCAGAGACATGCTTGAAGGTGGAAGATAATTGGGTGGCAGGCATTTGAGAACTGAAAACAGTTGCACGTCAGTGCTTGGGTGGAACTACTATCAATTTTGAATTGTACAGTCAATGGAGCCAGTGAAAACCAGACTTGCTGTTTTCCCCCTTCTGCCCCCCGGCCTTCTCCCTCCCAGGTTAAGCTTTAGTAAACTGAAGTAGTAGCCACATCTGATCCATTGTATAGCCTCTAATGATAGCAATAATGTAATAATCTTAAAACAGTATAAGGTATGGGTAATCTGTAACACAGAAACCGAATGAACTATACACCATTGCCTATTGTTGAAGTGATTTTTATTGAATTAATGTGATATTAGAATATGATGCATGAATTTTTAATTTAGCTTACTGATTGGCAGTGTGGGAAAAAGTCAAAATTCACTTGCGGTCATGTCAAAAGGCTTTTAATCCAGCAGTAACAATACAGGATTCCTCTGTACAGGTCAGAATTCCACTTTTAAGAATGCTTCACTTGTGACTGTGATGATGATTATTCATGTTTATATAATGCTCACTCTGTGTCACTTTAGAAATAGATAAGTTGTCCTAAATATACAACCAAAGTGGAACTCCAGTTTGTCCATGGGGGTTTAGAACCTCTGGAAAAACAGGCCCTTCTTACCTAAATTCAGCCATCGCTAGAGTTATACAAGTGTTCTTATGGGATAACAGCCAGTATGGAGAGGTGAATTGATACATTTTGGACATACAGATGAGTAAGCAAAACTTAACGTATACCTGTGCCATAGCTATTCGCCAGTCAAATTTCAGGCTTTCCTAGAGCCATTTTGAAAAGAGTATTTGTGTTTCCATAGCAATTGATATTTTACTACACTTTTCTTTTCTTCTTGTCTTCTAGCTAAACACCATGTCAACGGAAACAGAACAGTGGAACCTTTCCCAGAGGGAACACAGATGGTTTTATTTGGTAAGATATCATGTCTAAAAGAAAAACACTAAACTGTATGGAGGGAATGCATGCCAAACTTCTTGATTTCAGCAACACTCCGTAGGGTTTCACAATGGCTATAATGTTATAGCCATTTTCTAATCATCATAACCAACAAAAAACGGTTGGATTTTTGGTGAAGTGTATGACCAAAAAAGTGGGTATTGCAAGTATTTTGCCTTAGTTTGACAGACAGTATATTTAATCCTTTATTTGAAGTGTCTTGTATAAATACAGAGTAGCAGTTATTTGCGTATGATCGGCCCTGTGACATAGTTCAGTGCTTTATACAAAATTCTGGAGGTGATTTATGACCCTACACCTCCAGTGCACTCAAATACTTGTGGTGAAAGTTTTATCTACTTTATTTGCATAGCTTTCTCAGTGGACTCCTTTCTTCCTTCCTTTCTGTCTAGGGGACAGATTCTGATACCTTTACTCACACAGTAATAGTGCCTTATTTTGTGAGTAAGCCCATTGACTTCTCATTGGTTGACAGGTGACCTTTCCAATTTTATGACCTCCCATTTGGTCTGCTCACAGCACCAAGGGTCTTCACAAAATACCTCCCAGTAGTCGTAGCACATCTCAGATGCAAGAGCATATTCGTTTATCCTTACCTTGACAATTGACTCCTAAGGGCCAGCTCTCAACAGGGTCTCTCCTCTGCAGTTCAGTACACGTGTGACCTCGTGCAATCCCTTTAGTTGCTGATCAACGGGTAGAAGTCCTCCTTCATAACCCATGCAAAGGATCACCTTTGTGGGTATGGTCCTACACTCCACTCAAGCCAGGGCTTTTCTCTCAGAAAGGAGATTCCTAAAGATAAGTATCAGGGATCCAATTTGCAGATGATGCAGTTCTTCTTTGAGTGCTTGCTCATGTCCATTCAACTTAGGTGTGTGTGCTCACCACATGCACAAGTGCCGGAATATTGTTCCCTCAGCAGTATCCGTAGGGACCGGTTCCGGTGCCCCCAGGAATGGCGCGCACATGCCGTGGTATATAGGGTGCCGCAGGCTCCCCAGCCCCCCAGTTCCTTCTTGCCACCAGTGACGGTGCTGGAACTGTTGCTGCTTCAGCTACTGCTGTTGCTTTCTCGTTTGTACGAACTCGTTAATTCTTGTATTATAGTGCATATAGTTTTCTGTTAGTGTTAGTAAATCCCTTAGCTATAGTTAGAGACTTTGTAGGTCCCGAAACGGGACTTGGCCTCGGGATGGGGCATGCTCCGGTTCCCAGACTTTAAGCCCTGTGATCATTGCAAGAGGCCCATGCCCATTAGTGATCCACACAGCAGCTGTCTGTGTTGCTTGGGCGAAGGGCACATTAATGAAAAGTGCAAAATTTGCAAGTCCTTCAAGCCAAGGACTAAGAAGGAACGTGATATTCACTTAAGAGCACTCCTTATGGAGTCGGCCCTCACCCCGGCACTGGAGCAACACTCCGACTCAGCGCCGAGCACTGTGACCTCGGTATACAGTGCCCCACCGGGACCGTCCACTGGCCGGCACCAGTCCCCATCTGTGGCTCCAACCAAGAAGCCCAAAAAGACAGTGCAAGGCCGGTCTCCAACCTCCTGCAAGGGAAAGGATAAGACTGAGTGCAAGCAAGGTCCCGTGCCAGGCAACTCTTCACTCCCATTGGGATTTCAGGCCCAAGCTCTGGTTGAGTGGGGTAGCCCAGCCTGCTCCCCGGCAGCCACCCTGGATAGTGGCAGATGCCTTTGCCAGCTCCGGGTATCGTCCATGCTGGAGGCCGTGCAGGCGGCGCAGGAATCATAGAATATCAGGGTTGGAAGGGACCTCAGGAGGTCATCTAGTCCAACCTCCTGCTCAAAGCAGGACCAATCCCCAACTAAATCATCAAGCCTGACCTTAAACCTCTAATGAAGGAGATTCCACCACCTCCCTAGGTAACCCATTTCAGTGCTTCACCACTCTTCTAGTGAAAAAGTTTTTCCTAATATCCAACCTAAACCTCCCCCACTGCAACGAGACCATTATTCCTTGTTCTGTCATCTGGTACCACTGAGAACAGTCTAGATCCATTCTCTTTGGAACCCCCTTTCAGGTAGTTGAAAGCAGCTATCAAATCCCCCCTCATTCTTCTCTTCTGGAGACTAAATAATCCCAGTTCCCTCAGCCTCTCCTGATAACTCATGTGCTCCAGCCCCCTAATCATTTTTGTTGCCCTCCACTGGACTCTTTCCAATTTTTCCATATCCTTCTTGTAGTGTGGGGCCCAAAACTGGACACAGCACTCCAGATGAGTCCTCACCAATGTCGAATAGAGGGGAATGATCACGTCCCTCGATCTGCTGGCAGTGTTCCTACTTATACAGCCCAAAATGCCATTAGCCTTCTTGGCAACAAGGGCACACTGTTGACTCTCATCCAGCTTCTCGTCCACTGTAACCCCTAGGTCCTTTTCTGCAGAACTGCTGCCTAGCCACTCGGTCCCTAGTCTGTAGCAGTGCATGGGATTCTTCCGTCCTAAGTACAGGACTCTGCACTTGTCTTTGTTGAACCTCATCAGATTTCTTTTGGCCCAATCTTCTAATTTGTCTAGGTCCATCTGTATCCTATCCCTATCCTCCAGTGTATCTACCACTCCTCCCAGTTTAGTGTCATCTGCAAACTTGCTGAGGGTGCAGTCCACGCCATCCTCCAGATCATTAATGAAGATATTGAACAAAACCGACCCCAGGACCGACCCTTGGGGCACTCCGCTTGGTACTAGTTGCCAACTAGACATGGAGCCATTGATCACTACCCATTGAGCCCAATGATCTCACCAGCTTTCTATCCACCTTATAGTCCATTCATCCAGCCCATACTTCTTTAACTTGCTGGCAAGAATACTGTGGGAGACCGTATCAAAAGCCTTGCCAAAGAATAACATGTCCACTGCTTTCCCCTCATCCTCTGATCATGTCCCTCCCGGTGCCGCCCACACCTGCTCCTGCGGTTCCCCAGTCATGGGGTAAACCCTCATTCAGACTGCCACAGTCCGCCCCCAAGCGGCACCGTTCCCTGTTGCAGGGGACATCCTGACAGCGCTTACCCTCCCATAGCTGCCACGCCTCTGATGGTGAAAGGCAGATGCAGCGCAGCCCCATTTGGTCCCCGGACCTTGGGCATGGGCAGAGAGGCTCGAGGCGCAGCTCGCCTGCGACCGGGCGCAGACCTCTGGAGGCAAGTGCCCCCCGGCAGGAGTACCAATCCTGGCACCTGGTATCTCCAAGACCATAGTACTGCTCCAGAGACCCGTTGAGGGATCGATGCTACCATTCCTCTGACTGTCACCGATCCCCTAGGAGGGCATCACCGCGTGTGGGCACTTCTTGTTACTGGGCCTGTTCCGACCCCTGGTCCCACTCCTCATCCCGGTACCATTCGTCAAGCGCGAGACGTAGATCGCCAGTTCCAGGCCATCGCAGATCCGTCGAGCGCCACCGGTCCCCAAGACCCCGTTCCAGATTGGACTCCAGGCGGAGTTTCTGGCATCGGTCGGGGCATAGCCCCCGTTCTGCTCTGTCCTGGTTGCCTGGGAGTGACTGCTCAGGATCCAGCCCTGGTTTGGAGCAAGATTCCCTGATGACGGGACAAGCTCCGGTACCAACGGTACCGGCTACATTGTCGGCACCGAAACTGGCCCCATGGCCTCAGGCACAGTGGCCAGCGCCAAGGTACCCATGGAACCCATGGGGGTTCACCCTGGCCACCCGCTTGGTGTCCGGAGCCTCAGAAAGACCAGCTGCCTCTCTCTCCTGCTTCGGTGCGCAAAGCCTTGGGCGCAAGGACCCCGCAGGTCCAAGAGGGAGTAGGGGAGAAAGCCACTGGGTCACCAATGGTTGTGGAGGACCCTACAGCACCGGCATCCTCCTCCTCGTCACCAGACGTGGCTATAATGGCGCCCCCTCCCCCGGTTCCTCCGGATGACGCTAAAGCGCACCAGGAACTTCTGAAGAGGGCCACTGCCAACATAGGTCTTCAGGCAGAGGAATCAGAGGAGTCCTCAGACTCTCTCTTCTATGTCCTCTGCTCCACAGCACCGGCTAGGGTGGCTCTGCCCCCTTCATGAAGAGGTCTCAAAGATCACCAATGTCCTGTGGCAAACTCCCTCCTCCCTGACCCCCATCTCCAAGAGGGCTGAGCACAAGTACTTTGTGCCATCCAAAGGCCACTAGTACCTGTACACCCACCCTGCTCCCAACTCCCTAGTGCTAGAGGCGGTTAACCACATGGAGCGACAGGGTCAACCTGGGGCTACCCTTAAGAATAAAGACTCCAAGAGAATAGACGTGTTTGGGCGTAAGGTTTATTCCTCCTCTAGTCTCCAGTTGAGGGTGGCCAACCATCAAGCCCTCCTGGGATGCTATGATTTTAACATGTGGCAAGCCATGGCCAAGTTCGAAGGCTCCCTCTCTGAGGTATCTAGGAAGGAGTTCTGGGTGATCATGCGCCGGGCATCCTGGCTGCTCCTCTCTGGCTTGTCCACGGAGGCTCAGCAGTCGACGCAAGACCTTCCCTTCGATGGGCAGGCCCTGTTTGCGGAACAGATGGACAGTCAGCTCCATGGCCTAAAGGACTCTCGCACGACCCTTAAAACATTGGGCCTGTATGTTCCCAGCCCTGCCCACAAGCGGTTCAAGCCACAGCAGCCTCAGGGCCAGGGGGAGCCACCCTCGCCAGGAGCCTCCCCATAAGAAATCCAGAGGCTACAAGCGGCGTTCTAACTAACAGCCTTCGCAGGCTTCTCAGTCAAGCTCAGCCCGCAACAAGCAGGGGGGCAAGTGCCCATTTTGAGGGTACGCCCGAGGGCGACCTACTGGACTGTTCCCAGGATCCTTCTTCCCCTATTTTTGCCAACCGCCTTTCTCCTTTCCTCCCTGCATGGGCATCTATAACATTGGACCGATGGTCCTCAGTACGGTGGCGCGGGGTTACATCCTTTTGTTGCTTTCTACTCCTCCT